CCCGGGTCCTAGCAGAGGGCGCCGTGGGGTCGGGCGCTCCCGCGTCTTCGCCCTCCGCAGGCTGCGTGCCGAGCCCGCAAGTCTCCTTTTCCGCTCCAGGGAAGTGGTGGACTGAGGCCCGACCAGCGCGGATGCCAAGCAGCTCGCGGATGCAGAAGCGCTGCCCTCGCGGCCCGCTGCACATACTGGCGCGCTCAGCCTGCCGTGGGTGCGGCCCAGGCGGGATCCGAGCCGCGCAGGCGGCCTTGAACCCCGTTCCGTCTGCTCTTGCGCCCCATCCTCTGTCCCAGGAGTTCCACCCTAGCCGGTAGGCGGCCCTGGTCACCCAATGCGGGCCCAGGGGAGCGTCTCATGAAACTCCTTTATACCCGACAGTGATTGCATGGGTATTGCAATTTAAAAGAAAATCATAGAATACTTACAGAGTAATTTATAGGAGTGAAAAATCCCAATAATGTGTATTCGTGTTAAAAATCAGTCTCCCTTCTCCACCCTCCTACCAACTCCCCATCGATAACGATGGACAAGTAATAGGATCCAAACGCATTGGTGTACGTATAATGAAGATAATTTACTGGGCAGGGGTGCAGGTTTGTTCATCTCTTCTTCCCTCCTTAGAAGAATATCAATCCAAATGTCAACAGCGGTAATTTCTAAGTAATTTCTAAGGTAAAATTATGAATGATTCTTGCTTTCTGAATGTTCTACAGTAAAAATGTGTGTTTGGGATGGAGACAGGATTTACTATTTTTAAATCCCATCTGCTCTTCAGGCCGTCCTCACTTCCACCTAAACTCTGGCAGCGCTGAGCCTCTGTGCCCTGCAGAGAGATGCATCACCCCGTACCTTCCCCACGCTGCACTTTGGGTCCCCTGGGAAAGGAACTGGAAGTTTGTATCTTGGTGAGTAATGGTTACAATACGCTTGGGTACTGCGCGTATTTCTACCAGCTCCAGGTGCAGATTAATCAGAAAGCCTTCCCTGCTGATTTAAGGGAAATAACAAAACAAACAAGACGATGATGCTATCAAGATTTCAGGGATTAAAAACCTACACGAAGGGGGTTTTCTTTTTCATTTTTTATTCTTGAAAAGCAATTTTGCATTTTTTCTTTGATTTTGGAGGCCAGAAAACCCAAGTTCTGATTAAATTTGGGTTCCATTAAAACTTGGTCCAACCACCCTAGAATCATTTTTGTCTTTGAGAGTCAATATAGAAATTACATGTCGCTTCCTTTCCTTCTCAGTAGAAAAGGGTTGATGCTCTATACTTAGCACAGGGCTCTCCAAACTCAGGTGTGCACTGGGATGTTTGTGGGAAGCAGGTGTGCAAAGCAGCCCTGCCCTGCTGCCCTCCAGGGATGGTGTGGTTTGACATTTGCACATGAAAATGATTTATTTAAATACATATTTTTTTACTTTTTAATTTTTTAAAAATTCAGTCTCCGTAGACACCGTCAAAAATTGCCAATGCTGACTATATTTGCAAGGCGTCATGGCGGGGTATTGGGAAAAGTTCAATTAGCAATGATCACGCCTTGCATAAACCTCATTGGCTACAATATTGCCTCTGTGCAAAGCTAAATGCATATTTTTTAAATCACAATTTTAAAAGTAAATTAAAATGTTGGACATTTTGAAAGCCAATGGAGGAAATAAACAAGAGCCCTGTGTAAGCCTGTCTTTCCCTGTGGATCAACTATTTCTAACAAATTCCTTTTGAGGACCTACTTCACGAGCCAGGGTGATTAGCAACAGAGCCAGACTGTGGAGAACCTGATTTGCTCATCTGTTACGAATTTGCCAGAAAACCCAGTTAGTTTCCAAGCTTGTGGGAAATGCATTACTCCAGGGATTCTCTGACTTACACATCTCACCAACAAGCGAAACAACAAAACAACTTTAGGAATTGGCAATAGTGTACTAACTTTTAACTTTGCCAGGTAAGTTCATTAAGAAAAGAAACTGTTATCTACTGGCACTGCTCCTTTTGCAAAAGAAAGACACACATTGACAACAAAAAGGACGTGATCTCAGAACAAAGGACGATCTTCAAAAATAATTGTCACCTTATACTTTGCCATATTTTCCTTAAATTTCATTTTTCCCCAGTGAAAATGTTGATACTAACTTGCACTTTGCTCGTGTGCCTGACTTAGTTACTAGGCTTCATGACTGTAACTGAATCTTTGTAAATTGATGAGACTAGTTTTATATTTGAGGACTAGGATGCTGAATATCGATGAACAATGCCCAGTACCTAGAGGTGACAATTGTTAGATATTTGGCTGAATTTGTCCCAATCATAGAATCCTGTGCTAAACCTGCACCCAAACTTCCTAATTTAGATAAGTATGCTATCATTTATTTTAACTTTAGATTCTTGTTTTGTTTCTGTTAGGTTTGAATTTACATACTTTTCTAGAAAATTGAAGTTCTTTTTACTTGTGTTTGTGTTTTTATCAGTTGATGGCACTCTGCTAGTGACCACCCAAAGAGGCTCATGCCTATAATCCTAGCATTCTGGGAGGCTGAGGCTGGAGGCTCCCTTGGGCTCAGGAGTACAGGATTAACTGAGCAATAGCGAGACTCTTTCTCTATTAAAAATAGAAAAAAATTAGCCGGGCATTGTGGAGAGTGCCTGTAGTCCCAGCTACTTGGGAGGCTGATGCAGGAGGATCACTTGAACCCAAGAGTTTGATGTTGCTATAAGCTAGGCGGACACCATGGCACTCTAGCCTGGGCAACAGAATGAGACTCTGTCTCAAAAAACAAACAAACAAAAAAAGAAAAAACAAAGAATTAAGCATTTTGATATCATATGGTTTGGCCTTTTCCAAATCATAACCTTTGACTTTTAAGAAAACAATGCTTTGAAGGTAGATTGTACCAGCCAACAATGGAAAGTGAGGGGGAGGGGACAGTTAAGAATGAGTTGAAATGAAAAGGTACTACATACAAATACAAATTTTTAAATCCTTTTCTAGAATTAAAGCAAATACTGCAACCCCAAATCAAATTCCCTTTTCTTGAAAGCAATCATGAGGGCATCAAATCTTCTAGATGTTGAAAGCAGTTTGTAGAGAGCTCCCCCGATCCGTCAATGCCCACAGTGCACATCTCAACCAGCTGACCTTGTCTCTCCCCCAGACCTGGTGGAATAATTCCAAGGCACTTCCATGGAGATGAGGGCGGCAAGAGTTTTTCTTTCTTTCTTTCTTTCTTTTTTTCAGGGCACAGGCTCTACTGCATTACAGAATAGAAAAGGAAACTTCAACCTTAATTATGACTTTCTTTCTAAACTCAAAATCACTTGGTATTTAAAGCATTTCAACCAGGAAAAGAAAAAGTCCTTAGCAGTTTTACCTTATCTAGAAATGGAAAGATTTGACTAAAGACCTGGATGTCTGTAAAGGGATATTTTTGCAGCCTTAGATGTCTTTTTTTTTTTTTTTTTTTGAGACAGAGTCTCATTATGTCACCCTCGGTAGAGTGCCGTAGCGTCACAGCTCACAGCAACCTTAAACTGTTGGGCTTAAGGGATTCTCTTGCCTCAACCTCCTGAATAGCTGGGACTACAGGCACCTGCCACAACACTGGGCTATTTTGTTGTTGTTTTTGTTGTTCTTGCAGTTTGGCTGGGGCCCGATTTGAACCTGCCACCTTTGGTATATGGGGCTGGCGCCCTTACTCACTGAGCCACAGGCACCACCCCACCTCAGATGTCTTGAACTACAATTTCCAAAGAGTCTTCCATCAGAATGGACTTGGCAGAAGACTCACACAACACTGGCACTTTCCCAGGCTTCATGCCATGACTCAGTTCCCTTATTCTTTGGTCAAGACTCTCAAACTCATGGCTACAGCTGTCACTCAGATCTACACAGTTGCTGACCTGGCATCTCCAGTCCTAACTTCTCTTCAGTGCTGAATATCTTCCACCCAACAAGTTCCTTAAATTCAGCATATCCCAAATCAAACTAACCCAATTCTGTCCGCCACTGACAGCCTCCTTCACCCTCTGTATTTATTTTGGTTAGCGACACTGTCACTTACCAAATTGCTCAAGCTGAAAACCCTGGCGTCATCCCAAGCTCCAGGGATGTTGCCGCCTACTGGTCACTAAGGTCTGTCCCCTCCGACCCTAACTTGTCTCATCCTTCCAGTCTCTTTCCTCCGTCGCATTGTCACATCTCTTCTTACCTGGACTATGGCGACTGCTTTCTTTCCTTTTTTATTTTTAAAAATTTTGTTTATAACCGACACCTAATAAGTATGTATGTTTATGGGGTATGATGGGACATTTCAATGCATGTATACATTGCATACTGATCAAGTCAGGGTAGTTAGCATGTCCATCACTTCAAAACTTTCTCCTATCTTTGTGGTGATAAACTCAAGATCCTCTTTCTGGCCATCTTGAAATACACCTTGTCTTAGCTATCGTCTCCCTACTGGGTAGTAGAATGCCGGGACTTTTTTCTGTCTAACTGTAACTTTGTACTTGTTGGCCAGCTTGTCCCTATCTTCTCTCCCATCTCCCCTTCTGAATCCCTGAGAACCACTGTTCTACTCCTTCCTTCTATGAGATCGACTTTTTAAAATTCCATGTCAGTAAGATCATGCAGTATTTGTCTTTCTGTGTCTGGCTTAGCCTCTTAAATCTAATGTCCTCTGGGTTCCTCCAGATTGTCACAAATGACAAGATTTCATCATCTGGTATATACCACATTTTCTTTATCCGTCCATCCACTGATGGACATTTAGGGTGACTTAGTAGCTTTACCACTGTGTCTACTACTGCAAGAAACATGGGACTGGCGATATCTCTTCAACATGCTGATTTTGGTGCCCTTGGATGTTACCCAGTGGTGGAATGGCTGGGTGATATGGTAGTCCAGTTTTAACTTTCAGAGGAAACTCCATGCGGTTTTCCATAATGGCCGTACTAATTTATATTGCTACCAATAGTATATAAGTAAGAATTCCCTTTCTCCACATCCTCACCAGCCTTTTCTTTTTTGGTCTTTTGGGTAATGGCCATCCTAGCGAGGGTAAGGTGATGTCTCGTTGTGGTTTTGACTTGCACTTCCCTGATGATTAATGATGGTGAGCATTTTATGATACAGCCGCTGTGTCCATTTGTACACCTTCTTTTGAGAAATGTCTAAGTCTCTTGCCCATTTTTGACTGGGATTTTAACATTTATTTATTTTTATTTTTATTTTTTATTTTTGCTATTGAGTTGTTTGAGTTCCTTACACATCCTAGATCTTAACCCACTGTTGGATGCATAGTTTGCAAATATTTTTTCCCCATTCGCACTCTGCCGATGGTTTCCTTTACTTTGATGTAATTGCATTTATCTATTTCTGCTTGTGTTGCCTATGTGTTTAAAATCCTAGCCATAAAGTCTTTGCCTAGATCAATGCCCTGGAGCATTATCTCTTTGCTTTCTTCTAGTATATTTTATTTTACTTATTTTCAATTTATTTATTTATCTTTTTGTTTAGCCTGAGAAGGTGGCGGATGCTCTCTGCTGGCACGTGTAGCTGTGTACTTTCAGGTCTAACACTTCAGTCTCTGATCCATTGAGTTTATTTTCGTATAGGATGAGAGACAGGGGCCTACTGTTATTCTTCTGCAGGTGGTTATCCGGTTTTTCCTCCACCATTCATTAAACAGATGGTCATTTGGGGGCAAATGCTTTCTATCTGGTCTCTGAGTAATACTTACGCTCATAGACCCATCCATATAGGGGTCAGGGAGAGTGTTACAAAACACAGCTCATAGCTCTCTGCTGCTTAAATCGACCTGAAGATTCTTCATTGCCAGTAGAATAAAGTCTAAATGCCTCATCATGTGATATCAAGTCCTCCCTGACTGGCTCCCGTCATCCCACTTCCCCCTGACACTCTCTGCCAAACTTCCTGTGGGAGAGAGTACCTATAATCCCGCCCTTTACATTCCTTCTTCCTGATCAAAATGATAACAACTGGTGATTACATCATCTCTCTTGCAGCTAGACAGGGCCAGTGACAAAGTTCTGGACAAGTGAAGTATCATCAGGGAATTTCCAAGGACTTTCCCGGTAGGGAACTGGCACTTGTCCTTTACTGCCTGTCTTTTGCTTCTTTCTCCATCCTGTGGCTTGGAATGTAGGTGTGACGGTCACCATCTTGAACCATGAAGAGGAGGATCACTCCCAAGAGAAGGAGAAGCAGCAACTTGCCCTAGAGCAGAACAGCCTGACCGCCCACTCTGGAATTTTCTGTGAGATCACGCCATTGTTATTCCGGAGCTCGCTCTCTTGCCGCAGGACCTGCTCCTAAGGGACACAGAATTTGGTACCAGTTACGTAATGCTGCAGGTCATTTCATGCTGATCTTTCTCTTTCTTTATGGTCTTCTTCCCACTCTTACCGCAAAGTTTTATTATCACAGTCATTTGGCCTACCCACATTTTGATTTCCATGGACACTTTTTCTTCCAGGTGATGAGTAATCATTTGGATAACAATTCTGCTGTTGCTTATGCTGCAGAATATTAAGCCTTGCCAAGTACATCTGACTGGCAGAATCAC